GCCAGCTGATGTTGCTATATGTCATCTATAGCAAATATAATAGTCAACATGTATAATACTCCCTCCGTCCGGAAATACCTGTCGAAGGAATGGATGTATCTGGACGTATTTTAGTTTTAGATACATCTGTTTTTATGCATTTCTTCGACAAGTATTTCCGGACGGAAGGAGTAGTTACCAATAAGAAAGTACTACTTCATCCGTTCCATAATGTTTCATAATATAAAAATGTTTTTCATGCTAACATAGCTTGAGAAACATTCTTATATTGTGCGACTAAGGAAGTAATCTATTAATATATGACCCTTTCATTCTCATAAAATATCTTGGATCTCGTGCTAGAGCCGACTGTAAGTCTATAACCCGCTTCTCTTCTCTCTCCTCTTCTCTCTCTTCCAACTAAGCAACAATATAATAATTAAATCCTTATCGCTCGCTTACCTCACCTTATTATACTTGCTCTTACTAGTCCCTGATGGCGTTAGCTTGTACTCCCTCCGTTCGGAATTACTTGTCGCGAAAATGGATGTATCTAAACGTATTTTAGTTCTAGATACATCCATTTCTGAGACAAGTAATTTCCAAACGGAGGGAGTAGGAGGTTCCTAAGTGGCGGAGGAAAGGGAAGGGATCCGGCATGGCCACCATGTCCAGATCTGGATAGCCTGCTCACCGAGCCGGGGGTATAGCATCACACCTTAGGCGCCTTTTCGCTGTCAGGGCGCGATGGGATGAGGTTGTGGCAAAGCAGCAGATATCGCAGCCTGCCCCACGTGCAGAAGGGGTTGTAGTGGTGGGTATGCAAAATATGTTGTGGTCGTCGCACCGGATCTGCCCTGCACGCTGCTAGGCCGTGTCGGTTGTGCTTGGGTCGCTAGCACTGCCTCCGAGGATGCATGCTTGGTCCTTCTAATCTAGGAAGATTCATGGCCTGCATCGCTAACGACGATACATGAGGGCGGTCATTGATGAGTTCAATTTCTTACACTTTTTCCTTTTGTGTTTGGGTCATAGTGATAGGATTTTCCAGATTTTATCACGTACATTTTTTTGTATGTTTCCATCAGGATCCCAACCGCAAGGAGTTTTGAGGCAATAGGAAGCAACCCAAGAATAGGAGGTTAAAATCACTTTAATTTGCGTGATAGGAACCTACCATAGGAACCCGCCAACCCTCCGCACCCCTCCCCCCTCCCCTACTAACACCCTCCCCTCCCGTTCACCACATGTGACCACCAGTCTCTAGGCCTAGGAGGGGCGACCTGCCACCAGCCTCACCATCATCAGGGGTAAGGATGTGTCTCGCATCCTCTTGTTGTCCCCAACATCGTCGGCATCAGTGGAAGGAGATCTTGGCCATGGAATGAAAATGGAGTAACTGTATTTCTTTTTCTTGGCGGGGAGGGCGGGTGGTCTCTTCTCCTGTTCTACAACAACAATGGGATCGTTTGGATTTGACTTGCTACTACCATGTCACTGACTCATGGGGTCCAGAGCCACCTGTCCGGGGCATAGAGCGTGCCATATGTATTAAAGTGCAAACAATGCTATTCCGATTGAGGTGGTTGCGGACACATCTCTATTATTTTTGTTCTCCACTGATACAACCACTTCCTCTACCTCCCCTTCTAACCCGGCACCGGTGACCTATCCCGAACCCATCAAGAATTGCTCCCACCACCGTCACCCGCAAAATCACCATCCCACTCTCTTTCATGGCAAGACCTTGCCGCAAGATGCTACAACACTCTTGTCTTTGCTCATAGCTCTGCTTCCTCTTCTTCAATGAAAATCGACCAACGCGTATTATGTTTTTCAAGCAGCTTACAAATAACAAATGCACGAAATTTATCTTTGCAAGTTCTGACTCCCCACGTGCTCATTCAACATACAAGAGAAGAGAGAACACGCGCAAGGTTACATCATTGATTATAACCACCTTAATAGTCAAGCTTGATTTGCGATAAAAAATTGTTTACTTCAGCCATCCTACAAAATACCAAACCATTTCCCGAAAGTGGAACCGATGGAAATTCTTGAAATAAACTCACATAAGATCTAGATGGAGGGTGCAAAAAAAAGCAAGAAAAAACACACAAAAAGTAATTTCAAAAGGTACAATGAGTTGGTGTTGGTGATGTTTTTTCTCTCTCTGATGGGCTACGTTGTGGAGCCACTGTGGTATACCTTGAATTATTTCCCCCTCTTAATTAATGAATGAGGGAAATCTTTTGCCTCAGTTTAAAAAAAACCCACAACAAGCACGAAACAAAGGTACAAAGTCTGAGATTGCCAACGAAAGATCAATCAATTCATGATTGCAATAGATTGGTAGTCGTACCAACTTCGACAATTGGTTAATCATGTGTTAGCAGGAACAAGAGACGGGGCGGATATCCAAAAACTGAAGACTAATCTCAAATGTGTCTTGCATGTACATGAACTGGAAATAGCCCAAAATAGCCCAAAATAGCTACTCACTCCGTTCGGAATTACTTGTCCCGAAAATGGATGTATCTAGAGGTATTTTAGTTCTAGATACATCCATTTCCAAGACAAGTAATTCCGAACGGAGGGAGTACATGTTTTCCTTTGTAGTTGAGTCAGGGCAGCATGGTGTATGGAATCTATCAGAAGTTTATGGTTGGATATTTTATCTATTTTCTGTGCAGACATCAACTTCTTCTCATCAGCAATATGTTTGGCGTTGATGCTCCAGGAAAATTCCTTTTACTACAGCGGTATATTTGTCTTTTGAGTGTCAAGTCTTAGTGATTATTGCCATCTCTGTGTGTTAGGACTGTTATTATTAAAAAGTTTCTTCTCTGCCTGAACAATGATCTTCTGAGACATTATCACCCGGCTAGTTTGCCGCTGCAATACTGTTTACCTGGTTTTGATTCTAAAAAGAATGTTCATTTTCTCTCTGCAGGTTTCTTTGTTTGTTGTTAGTGCATCACAGGGAAAATGGCAAGCCGGGCAGGTGGCGAACTCATAAATGAGCAAGTGGTTGCAAATACTTATGTGAACATGCGCACTGAAATGAACCAGCTGTACACCAAGATCACGGAGCTGGAAATGGAAGTCAGCGAGCACTCTCTTGTGATTGGCGCCATAGAGCCCCTGGACCCCACGAGGCGTTGCTATAGAATGATTGGTGGGGTCTTGGTTGAGAGGACCATCAAGGAAGTGTTGCCGGCCGTGCACCGGAACAAGGAGGGCCTTGAAGAGGTGGTGGCTCGCATGAAGGAGGCTCTGGAGACGAAGAAGAAAGAGATGACCGAGTTTGAGCTCAAGTACAAGATCAGGATCCGGAAGGGGGGCGACATCGATGGCGAGGGAGAAGGCGGCATGAAGGAAGCCTCTGCGCAGGGTGTCCTTGTTGGCCCTGCAGGTCAGTAGAGCAGACTGACAGGACAAGGAGGGAGACTTGCATAGTCTTTCTATGGCGGCTCTCTCATAAATGACTCCCAACAGAAATTGTAAGGATGCATAGAAATATGGCCACGACATGCTCCTGTGCAGTTTGCGGCATGCCAGATTCGTGGCGTCACAGTTTGGTTGAGTGCACAATGGCGCGATGTGTGTGGACACTCGTGGACTAGGATTTGGTCGAACAGCTAATTGTGAACACTGAGAGGAATTCAAAGAACTAGCTCTTCATGATGATAGAACTGTTATCACATGAAAAGCTTATTAGGTTGATGGTCACTCTTTGGGCAGTTTGGACGGCACGAAGGAAACTCATTCTAGAGGGAATAAACCAGAGACCTCTGATGACTCACCTATTTGTTTCTCGGTTCATAGCTGAACTGGGTCAGGTCCATGCTCTAAGTCCGCCCCAAGTGAGGACGGCCACTCGTGCTGAACAGACAAAAAGATGGATCCCATTCTCTGCGGGCAAAATCAAAATAAATGTCGATGCCTCTGTAAGATATGGAAGAGGTGCCGCCGCAGCAGTCTGTAGGAACGAGTTTGGACAATATTTGGGTTCATCAGCCTTTGTCATTCAAGGTATGACAGACCCACCGAGTCTGGAAGCAATCACATGTAGAGAAGGATTGTCAATTGCTGAAGATTTGGGTCTTCCAAACATTGTCATTGCTTCGGACTGCAAGACGGTGATCAAGCACATTCATGAAGCATCAGGGACGCCATCTCTGGATCTGGCACTCTATGATCCCAGTGTAATACCCGACTCTGTACCACTTGATGAATAAAGCCTAGCGAAAGTTTCTGAAAAAAAATCTGAATGAAAATGAATGACTGGGCAATAATTAAGGTCATAAACAAGTGTTTTTATTTTACAGCCACAACTGAAACAGGTTCAAAACAAACACACACAAATACCAATACATTATATAATTACATAGTTGAAACAAATCAAGCGAAAATAATAGTCTGGATATGGAAACCCAGCTTGCTTGCAGCCTGAACAATAAGCATTGTCTTGTTTAAAAGCCACAGCTGGAAATAACTAATAAGCAATATGATCACGCTTAACAAGCACACAAAAACACAACACAAGACAAGTGCGCTGTGACCTTGCACTAAGAAAACATGCACTGTAAGCCTGTTCGCTTTGCCTTTCTTCGTCTGACGAAAATTATGAAGATTTGTTTCAATAAATTAAAAATATTTAGAAGATGCACACATATGCCTCTTAACTAAGGAGCCAAAACAAAGCGGCAGCCCAAGCTAAGAAAATGGCAAGAGAAAGTGAAGAAGAAGAAGAAGAAAGCAGAGGCTAAAGCTACAGCCATGGCTTATGTACAGTACAGAAGCAAGAAAACAAAGAAGAAACGACAGCCGACAGGGAAAGAAATGAATCACAACGCGCGACCAGTTGAAATAGATGATATCACACATGGTTCACAACTACAGTAGCACACACGAATACAAGTACATGGTTCAAACAGGCAATACGAAGAAATTACAGTCCGAAAAATGAAATTATAGTCTCAGTCTTTCAAGCCACAGCCAGAAATAGTTAAATATTGTCACACACTTGACAGGTAGGAAATGGCGCAGTAGTGCATCTTGAAAAAAAAGAGGAATCCCAGGCGCGTTAATTCATTCCGTCGAATCTGCATGTGGCCCAAAACAGGATGTATCTCCCTGTTTCGGAGAGAATAGTGATAGTGCTGACTTAGTGTTGGAGACCATTGGCGCAGCGAGGCGAAGAAGTCACTGGTGATCTTGTGGAAGAACAAATGCTGGAGGGGCAGGAGGAACTCAATGCCAGATGGGACCTCCTTCATGCTGCTGAGGTTGACTAAGATTAATTTCTCCAGGCTCTTCATGGCACCTCGATGTATCTCTAGCCGATTAAGATGAGGCAGGTCTATCAGAGAGAGAACCTTTAGCATGGGAAACCACCCCGTGAGAAACGACAGCTGTTCTCCGTTGTATGCTCTAGAAAACTGTAGACGTGTCAAGTTTGACAACCGAGAAAGGGATGGCAGGGGGTCTTCTCTCAGCTGTGACCAATGTAGATACAATTCATACAAATTCTGCCCCTCAACGGCTTGAAAGAGAGGAGACTTATCCAACGCCCCTTCCGCTAGTCGCCCTCTCAAACATAGCTTTTGTAGGCTTGGCAGGAGAACATTCAACACGAGAACCTCATTCTCATCATTTGCACACACATATAGGTTGGACAAATATTGCATCTTAACCAGAGACACACTGATGTGTGCACAATATATTCCCTTCACACTCACTAACCTCAAGCTTCTCAGTTGCCTCAGCTCCCCTAATTGTCTAATAGACTCATCTTGTGCTTCCATTGCTTGTAGCGTCTGCAGGTTTGTCAGATTTTCAATACCATTGGGGATACAAATACCACCGTCACCTTTGAACGCTCCAACATTTGAATTTACTCTCTCAGCAAATAAGTGCCTGAGCTTCTTCAGTTTCACAATTCCTCGAGGAAACTCATGTATGTCACATCGACAAAGGTCCAGTGTCAACAAATTTGAAAGCTTCTCAACAGACTTTGGGAGCATCTTCACTTTCGAATCACGCAAACCCAAATGGCGGAGATTAAAAAGATCTCCAATAGCATCTGGAATCTTCTCCATGGGCAGACCACTTAATTCTAGCACTGTCATATATCTTGACTCCACGCATAGCACATGTATAGTGGATGATGGAATGCTTTTGTCCAGCGTAATGAATGTACGAAGTTGGTGCATACCATAAATTGGCTGATGATTATCCTCCTTTAGTTTGAGTAGTACCAATCGTCGTACATCCTGAAGAGAATCCTCACATTCACCATCATAAGTAACACCAAAATAGTTCTTCTGGCACAAGTCCAATGCCAACTCACGTAGGATATCGTGCATTTTGAATTTCTTCATCCTACCATATGAGTTCGTCTCAACAAGTTGTAGCATATTTCTGTCAATCAACTCCTTTAGATAGCCTTCTGCAACTTCTTCTAATGTGTTTCTACCCCTCTCCTTGACGAATCCCTCTGCTGTCCATAACCGTACAATTTGTTTCCTTCGGAAAATATAATCTTCTGAAAATAGACTGCAATACAATAAACAACATTTCAACTTTGTTGGAAGGTAGATGAAGCTCAGATGCAAAACATTCCTCACATGGTCAAGCCTCCAATTATTATTTATCTCCCACCTCAGTTGGTTATTTACTCTTCTCCATTCTTCCACGGTTTTCTCACGAACACACAAGAGGCTACCAACTGACACAATAGCAAGAGGCAAGCCTTTGCACTTGCTAACTATTTCCTTGGACGATAGCTTCAATTCTGTAGGACATTCATGATTTGTTTCTCTTGGAAAGGCTTTCTTACAAAATAGATCCCATGCCTTGTCTTCTGGTAAAACTTCCATTTTTATGGTATGTCGAGGAGAGGCATGTGCAGCAACATCACCTTCCCTTGTTGTGATGATCAATCTACTTCCCTTATCATTATGAGTAACCACCCTAGACAAATCATCAAATGCTTCTGGAGTCCAAACATCATCCAAAATGATCAAATACTTCTGTTTCTCCAGAAATTTCTTCAGTTTCTCTTCAAGGCACACAATGTCCATGGCCATAGTGCTAGATAGAACACTAACATCATCTTTAAAAACATCCTTGATTATATTCCTCAAGACAAGTTCTATAGAATAAGTTTGAGAGATGGAGACCCAAGCATGACATTGGAATTTCTCCCTCTCCTTCTTGTAAACATTTGCAGCTAAAGCAGTTTTACCAAGACCTCCCATTCCGAGCAAAGCTATAACAGAGTGTCCCAAATCATCACTTTTCAACCACTGCTGCAGTTTTTTTCTGTTTTCATCCACCCCTACTAGATCTTCTTCATCAAGGGAGCGTGAAATATTTGATAGATCTTGGGATCTCTTGACAATATAATTTGAGCTGTTAGTATCCCTGTTATTTATCAGGGTAACCCATCGGTTTTTAACCTCAGACAGGTGGGTGAGGTGTTTCTCTGTTTCCTTCACCTTGAAAGCTAACCGGTTGAAGGAAAGCAGAGATTTTGGCTTTTTAACCCCTTTCTTCAGGAAAAAGCAACAACCAATATCATGTTCTTGACCAACTAGATACAAGTACTCATCCACCATGTCCTCCATCACATGTGCTACTTTCTGCACCTCTTCCAACCAGCCCTCATATACTTGATTGTTGCGGTTTCGGATGTCCATTTGACAGAGAACATCATGAATTACGCGAAGCTCACTAGCAACACGGCCCATGGTGCTCTGTAGCTCTAGTAGTTGTGTGCCATACTTCGCAAACTGCACGCTGGCCTGGTCTGCCGCTCCCTTGGCCAGGGCAATTCCGATCTTTTTAATGGCTAGAAATAACACAATCTCCGCCATTGCTTTGAGAATTCCTAATGTCTAACTGTTGGGTGGTGGCCTTGTTGTATATTCTCCTCGATATTATCAGAATGACGACTGCAAAATGAAGTGGTGCATTAATTAAAATTTAGTGCATTCTGCTAGTAGCAAGCACTCGCCAAAAAACTTCAAACTCTACAACCACAATGGAAAAGTGAAATAAACAAAAAAAATCAAAATAATACTCCTAGACTCTTCGTATTGTTAACTTCTCTAACTCTAACCCACATAATCAAAGAAAACAGTACTTATGACAAGCAGGTCCACGAGAATTTTAAATCGCTTGGACTGTCGTATAGTCAGCTGCAGCAAACTTAATGTTGTTAAGTGACAAGAACAAGTGACACTCGACCAAATAACTGACCATGCATGCTCCGCTTCTGTATAAGAACATCTCAGGTTAAAATGCATCAAATGTTGACATTTGAACTAAGTATGGAAAAGGACTAATCTGACATAGCTGCCAGATCATTGATATGAATATTCTACTTTCAGAGAGATTGCTAATGTGACAATTCCAGGTTACTAGGTTCCATATTTTCTAAACATCTATATAATGGTCTCTCGAGATGCATAGAGAAACAAATAGGTAGAGTTGTTGAGTTAGCTGCAAGACAGATTTATTCCAATCAAGAAAATGAATGATGAAACAAAGCTGCAATGCATAGGGGTGAGACCAATAAATTATTGCTGTTACCAAAATAACTTGGTTCAAAAAACTGCGCCTTTTTTAACCAGGCTTTACTCATGAGAGTAATCTTGTTTGCTTGGAATTCAGTTAACGGGTGCGTAAGTCCAGGTAATCCGGTCTTCTCCGGGCGACGGTGGCGGCGGCCACAGGTGTCGTTTCCTTCATGAAGGCTCCGTCGTGGTGTTCTCTTCTCTCCACGTTGCTCCGGGTGAAAACTTGATCCTCGGGAACGGGCGGTGGCGACTATCGGTGTCGTGCCCTTCTTGAAGGCACCTCCTTGGAGTCCATGCTCCGTCACTGTCCCGCTTCACTTCTCGGTGGCTAGGTCTCGGGAGGTCCTCGTTGGCCCCAAGTAGCTCCTTTTGGCTCATCTGTAGTGTGCTTGGTGGTCGATTGGGTAGTGTTGTGGTGCATCGGCACCCTTGTATCTTGCCTTGGGGGTGTGTGTGTTGTGTGGGGTTGTGGCGTGTTGTATCCGGATTTGTATCTCTGACCGTTGCTTTATATATAAAGCGGGGCGAAAGACTTTTTTGGAAAAAAAAGTCCAGGGGAAGTCGAGGCTCTGGCATGTCTAGAATAGGTGCATAAATGTAATCTATAATACCCCTGTGGTTCAGCAGAGTGACTGCAGTTTGGAAGTCAACGCCTTGGTGTGCCAAGACAAGAATCTTTTCGTGATTGGCTGTTATGGCAGGATTTGCAGGGCTCAGTTGAAACCTGTGTGTTGGCTGAAGTTTTGTGTGATTGTAATCCCAACTATAGCTCGTAATTAACACACAACACTAGGTTGAAAAAAAAACAAGAATGTTGACTTTGCAAGAGCATATGCCCATCATGTGCTAACTGCTAAGTATGTCACCAGTAATGAGCACTACGAACAACTATGCTACAGATTCTTTGTGAATCCAAAGAAAATGATGGACGGTAACTAAAGAGAATCTGAACATACCTTCCTGCTCGCCAGACCTTGGCGTCGTCACAAATTAAGAGGCTCGTCCTTCCAAGAGAAATATTTATCGTGCTTACTGCTGCTGGAATAAATGAAAATGCATTAGTCACAAAGTATACTGGGCTTGCTAACTTTAAAAGTTACAGCAGGTGTGTTTTTTGTTTGCACCAAGGGAGATATTAAGATAGCAAGAAAATTAGGAAGGATGACATACCTGCCTCGAAATGGCTTAGATCTGATCGACGTTGGTGACTTCCTTGTGCATTTCTGAATCTGAAACCGTCAGAATAATATCATGGATCCTCACCAGAAAACTAGACCTCATGGCTTGGCTGTTGAGGTTGTCATTGAAGGTTAGCCATGGAGATCCTGAACTCTCATTGAATCATGGGTGTGGCTTAGAGTGTGCAAGCCTGTTGCTGATGACAAGTAGCTGGATCTGATCTTCAATTTGAGGTGTCCTCCTTTTTCCTTTTACCAGTTATTACCAGAGAACAACAACCGTGCCTGGCTTGTAATGGCAAGGAAAACTGCTTATTTTTGCATCGACATCTAGGATATTGACAAGAGAACTGGGAACACAACCAAATTAAGGGAACACACCTGGCTCGTAGTCCATGTAGATCCAGCAAGATTTTTTGAGAGCTCCTCCTTGTGCGCTTCAGGATCTGAAATCACCAAAACAGTGCCATCGGTTGGACTTACATACACATGTTCTGGCTGTTTAGCATCACTTCTGCTTCTCTTAGCAACCCAATAATTTCTCTTACCAATGCCCCTGAGATTTGCTAATCTAAATTTTGGAGAACAAGACAAGTGAGCAACTGAAGGAAGGCAGCAGGAAGCATCTTTACTCTTTAGTATAAAAAAATGTTACCGTCGTATTATATATAGCATACTACCTGTCACCATTCACCACTGGAATCATTGTTACTAACTATACAACTTGCGGTTTCGGTCCTCGGGAATAATTAAACATGATAGCGGTGCTGGCAGGCAGAGTTAGTAGGGAAACCGATACAGAGTAAACAACTCGAGATGCTGAACTTTGTTCACTGTTCTGGGACGGTGATCACTAATGAATGCTAAAATGTGCACTTTTCTTGTTTCTTGAAAAGTCGTGCCACAGGCATGGTTAAACGTATGCTTTACGGAATTTAGTGATAGTATTTGCTTCCGGTAGATAAAGTAGTTAGTATCTGGTTTGTTATCCCTAAAGGAGGAGGGTTGTGATAGGCTGGCGAGTCAACATCAAAACTCAGCCACTCTTATGGAGACGAAAAGAACATCGTTGTTCCTCTTCCGTATAGGGATACATTAGGTTAAAATGCCCCAGATGTTCAAATTTGAACATAGACAGAGGGCAAACCAATCGGACATACCTGTTAACTCACCAATATTTTATTTTCAGATAGTTGGCTAATGTGACCAAGTAACTTAGTTCCATATTTTCCTCAACATGTATCTAATAGTATCTCCAGATGTATGGAGATTGTTCTAATTAAGTTCAATCTAAGAAGCCAGAAAACGAGGCAAGGACGACGAACCTGCCCAAATTCAGTCGATCCTGGTGACCTCCTTGTGCAGTTTTGAATCTGATACCGTCAGAATAGTTATATGGATCCTCGTAGGAAAGAACAAATGCTATGTTGGTCTTGTTGTAATTGATGCGCTGTATGAGTGACAGTGTGGTAGCTTGTTGTTGACGAGTAGTAGCTGGATTTAATCTTCAATGTGAGATGTCCTTGTTGTGCCTTTTTCAGAACCAAACAACTGCCTCCTGGCCTCTGTAATGGAAAGCAAAACTACTTATTTTTGCATCAACCTAGTTAGTTCTAGCAGTAAAACCTGGGATACTGAGAAGAAAACTAGGAACAAAACCAAATTAAGGGCAACACACCTGTCTTGTAATCGATGTAGATCTGGCAAGATTTGGGGAACGCTAGTAGCACTGTTTGGAACCTCTGGCAATCCTCATGCTCTTTAGACTTGCACACACACCTTCTGGCTAGTTGTGAAACGCTCTTGCTTCTCTTACCAAGCAAACAATTGCTCTTAGCAACTCTTGAGATTTCTTAAACTAATCTTTGGCGACAACACAAGCGAGCAAAATGGTACCATCCTAGTGTAAAATGGCACCTTCCTACTTGTTTGGAAGGCAGCGGGAAGCATCTTTGGTATAAAATGGTACCATCCTTGTGTCGTTAAATAGTCATGATAGTTGGTGTCGGCAGACGTGGTTGATGTGGACAAATGACTGATGGAGACCTGTTAACAACAGGTGAAGCTATACATACAAAATTAGCAACTCAACAAGATGCTAATTGCTGACTGGTTCTTCATGACGTACGTGTTTGACCAGTACAGACAGAAGGCCAAGGCGATGCCTGACGGCTGACACAACCTCGAACGAAAGAGCAAGCTGGCCCTCTACGGGCCTTTTCAAGCTGGCCACCGTCGGCCCAGTCAGCACCGGTATATATATCCGGCCTGCTTGCTGTTAATAATGGGCTAATCACTGCAGATGGGGCTAATTGACGACACCGTCTATATCTGAACATGTTTTCTGGTGAAATTAAAGCATTAGCACTGGAGATTCAATACATGTCCTATGATTTTCTTGGTGTGTAATCTCCCTCAAGATACATACTGCTCTTGTACTTCTCTCCCTGAGATGCATCACCTTCACCGTGCTGAATCTCGCTTTCTTTCTCATCGTTGATTTATCTTGACGTGCATGGGTAATTATGTTTGAAGGCTAGCTGTGTGAAACTAAGCTATTGTGATACATGCATGCATGGACGTGCAACTTCAGTTTACGTCTCGATTAATATATCTCGTGTCCAAAGTCTGCATATATTTTTTTGGAAAAGGATGTGTGAGGCTACTCCCAATTTTCCAAGTTAATTCTCTAGCATATTATCTAGAAAGAATTTTCTTTCATCTCTAGCATATCATCTAGAAAGTATTTTAATTCACCTCTAGCATATTATCTAGAAAGTATTTTCGTTCAGCTTCTACTGCAACTCTCCATATATCATCTAGAAAGTATTATGGTCACAGAAGGTTACTTGAGCTCATCGATCCCCAGAAAGCTGATTGTTATATGACCTCATCGGCTGCCGCCGCCTCGGGGGAGAGAGGTCGGGGACTCAAACCACTAGACAAAATGTGCAAACAAGTAGTCGTGCTTTAGTATTATGCTTGGAGCATAGCCAAATGTTGTTTGATGTTCCGTATGGGACTCTGGGTTCAACCAATCCAAAGCAAGTGCTATATTACCAGCATAAGTTCTTGTCCATCTCTTTGTACAAATCTCTGATCGGATTGGCAGTGCTC